GCTTGTTTTTATGCTAGTACCGGGTTCTTTTGATTACAGTGGCCTTGTGATACAGTTTAATACCAGGTATTGTGATCCTTCCTACTTTACTCTTCTTTCTCAAAACTGCAGCAGCTATTCAGGGTCATTTATGGTTCCATATAAATTTTTGAAATGTTTGTTCTATGTCTTTGAAATATGCCATTGGTACTCTAATAGGTATTACATTGAATCTGTAAACTGCTTTGGGTAGTATGGACATTTTGATGATGTTAGTTCTTCCAATCCATGAACACAGTATATATTTCCATTCGTTTGTGTATTCCTTGATTTCTTTCTTCAGTGTTATGTAGTTTTCTGAATACAGGTCTTTTTACGTCTTTGGTTAGGTTTATTCCTAGGTATTGTATTTTTTGTTTTTGCTGTATGAAATGGGATTTTCTTCTTGATTTCTGCTTCTGCTGCTTCATTATTGGTGTACAAAAATGCCTTTGATTTCTGGATATTGACTTTGTATCCTGCTGTTTTGCCAAATTCATTTATTAGGTCAATCAGTTTTTTCACCGAGTCTATAGGATTTTCTACGTACATCATCATGTCATCTGCAAACAGTGACAGTTTTGTTTCCTCCTTTCTGATTTGGATGCCTTTTATTTCCTTTTCTTGTCTGACCGCTGTAGCTAAAACTTCCAATACTATATTGAATAGAAGTGGTGAAAGTGGACAGCCTTGTCTTGTTCCTGATCTTAGTGGAAAAGATTTTAGTTTTTTCCCATTGAGTATGATGTTGGCTGTAGGTCTCTCATATATGGCCTTTATTATGTTGCGGAATGCTCCCTCTGTTCCCACTTTTCTGAGTGTTTTTATCATAAATGGGTGCTGTACCTTATCAAATGCTTTTTCTGCATCTATTGATATGATCATGTGGTTTTTGTCTTTGCTTTTGTTTATGTGATGTATTACATTTACTGATTTGCGAATATTGTACCATCCTTGCATCCCTGGAATGAATCCCACTTGGTCATGGTGTATGATCTTTTTAATGTATTGTTGGATGCGGTTTGCCAGTATTTTGTTGAGGACTTTAGCGTCAATGTTCATCAGTGATATTGGCCTGAAGTTTTCTTTCTTTGTTGTGTCTTTATCTGGTTTTGGGATTAGGATGATGCTAGCCTCATAAAAAGAGTTTGGGAGTCTTCCATCTTTTTGGATTTTTTGGAATAGTCTGTGAAGGATAGGGGTTATCTCCTCCTTAAATGCTTTATAAAATTCTCCTGCAAAACCATCCAGTCCAGCGCTTTTGTCTATCAGGAGTTTTTTGATTAATACTTCAATTTCATTTGCTTTTATTGGTCTGTTCAGGCTTTCTGCTTCTTCTTTGAGTTTTGGAAGATGATATTTTTCTAGAAATTTGTCCATTTCACCTAGGTTTTCAAATTTCTTGGCATAGGGTTTTTCGTAGTAATTTCTTACAATCCTTTGTATTTCTGTGGTATCAATTTTAATCTCTCCTCTTTCACTTCTGATTGTGTTTATTTGGGTCTTCTCTCTTTTTTTCTTGATGAGCCTTGTTTAAGGCTTGCCAGAGCACTGCCCCTGCAGGAGATTCAGATGCAAATCCTCCATTTGGCACAGCCCCCTGCATGCCAGGCATGCTAGGGGTGCCACACAATCCCTTTGCCTTGCAGCTTTCTTATCTTCCTGCCCAGCTGGATTCAGTGGGAACAAACTGTGGGTTCAATCTGGTTTATTTTTTGGCAGGGCAGGTGTACACGTGTGGAGGGTCCCTACCCGGTCACACTTCACCTCCCCTTTTAAAAAGTCTCTATGTTGCACTCACACCTCAGTGCCACATCACTAACCAGTACATGGAGTTTTTCATGCACTCCACCTCCCCAAAAAACAAAAATTGTCTTCCAGTCAGGGTTGGCCACAGCCTGTCAGTTCCTCTGACAGTTTTAGGAGACAGAATTTCTCTCTGGAACTCTCCTGGTTGGTGGCGCACCTATGGATGTGCTGCTTGCTGTATGTGTGTAGCCTGAGTCTCCCAGACTCTGTATATCCTCTCAAGTCTCTCCAGATTAGGGTTGGGGTTCCCTGTGCAAGACCAAGGCCCTGTATTCTGGGAGGGGAAGGAGCAACTAAGCTTTGTTTTCTGTCTGGTCTCTCCTCTGCTGCAGGTGCCTCACACAGGGTATTTCCCCTTCAATTTATAAAATCTCTCACCAGATGGTGCGAAGCATCCTCTGTACTCTTTGACTTTAAAAAATCATATCACTTGAGGTTCTGTTGATTGTTCAGGTCACTTGTCAGATGATAAGCTGAAAATCCATTCTGGGGGAGCTAGCAAGTGGGCTCAGCTTCCACCTACTCAGCTACGATCTTTGGGCCTCACAATTTGTAGGTCTTAATCCCTTCACATCCCCCCTGCAACTTCACTCACAAAATGGAGAAATCTTTAAATACTTAGGGCTTTGGGTGGAGTACCTAGAAAAGTGCTGCTTCAGCAGAGGACAATATTAACATGCTGCTCTGATCTATAGGGGAAAAATTAACCATAAACTTACCTGCTAATGAAGGAAATCCTCCCCATCAATATGTAAAAGAAAGAAAAGTGTTTCATTATTGAGTAAGCATTAAACCAGACTGTGATGTATTACAGGCAATCTGCTAATGTGATTGCAAAGAACAGAAATAAATACTAAATGAATGATAAGTTACCCCTATGTAAGAGGACTGAAAACACTGTTTATTATATATTCTTTCATAGTTCATGCTAAGTTCACCTGGTAATTGGAGAAGACACCCTTCTAGTTAATTGCCTTTATGTTAAGAAAAAATCTTCTCATATCTCTATGACATACAAGTGCTTACGGCTTAGAGCAAGGTACCTAGCTAATCTCCTAGGATGACATCTTCCTTGATATTTACATTTCAAAGAGATGGCTCCTAGTCCCTTAGGGAAAAAAAAATCTGGATTATAAGGCTGGCAAGGAGTCTTATTTAGTCTTTGAAAATATTTACATACATACTAAAGGGACAGAGGAAGGATTCATAAATACTAGATTTCTCAAGAAATTAGTCTAAGAAAAGGGAAGAAGAAAATGTCTCTTTCTGTTTTTTGCAACACAGAAAGTTCAATTTCATTTTTATTTTTCCAGATTCTACTTTACAAAGATTAAAAGCAAGTCTCAAAAGGATCAAACTCTTTCCAAGTAACTTAACTGCATCCCAGAAACAGCTAATAAGTATTAAAAGATATACAGAATAGCCCTGGCTGGTGAACCAAAGCATCGCAGGTTCGATTCCCAGGCAGGGCACATGCCTGGGTTGCAGGCCATGGCCCCCAGCAACTGCACATTGATGTTTCTCTCTCTCTCTCTTTCTCCCTCCTGTCCCTCTCTAAAAATAAATAAATAAAATCTTTTTAAAATCTAAAAAAAGATATGCAGAATATTTAGTGTCAAACAACATAAAACATACAATGGTTGGCATTCAATAAAAAAATTCCAGGTATGCAAAGAAGCAGGAAAATATGACTCATAACAAGGAAAATATAATCAATAGGAAAAGACCTAGAAATGGGACAGATGAATGGAGTTAGTATACAAGGCCATTAAAACAATTGTTATAAATAGTATATTCTACATATGTAGAGAAAAGCATGAGTATGTTAAGGAGAGAAATTGAAGATATAAATCAAGATTCACATTGAATTTGTAGGGATGAAAATATATGTCTCTGATATACAATACACTGGATGAAATTGAGAGCAGATTAGTCACTTCAAGAAAAAAGATTAGTGAATTTGAGAACATGGCACTGAAAATTATTTTAAAAAGACAGAGGAAAAGTGAAAATAAATGAACAGAACAATAGTGAGTTGTAGGATGATCACAGTAGCTTAATATATGTATGATCTCCAGGAGAGGAGAGAGCAAAGAAAAATTATTTGGACAAATAATGACTAAAATTTTCCTAGATATGATAAATATATAAACTCACAAATTTAAAAAAAACTCAATGGGCTCAATGAACAAGAATCACAAAGAAAACTACAAGGCATGTCAAAATCAAATTGCTCAAAAAACAGTGATAAAGAAAAAAAAACTAAAAAGGGACCAGAAAAAGACACCTTATATACACAGGAATAAATATGAAAATGATACATATTCTTACTAGAGGACATTTAAGTCAGAAAACAGTGAAACAGCATATATAAGGGACTGAAAATAAGACTGACAATCAATGATCTATATGCAACAAAAATATTTTCAAAAAGAAGGAAAAGCACAATCTTTTGCAGATATGCACAGCTGAAATAATGTATCAGCAGTGGATCAGTACTACAAGAAATGCTAAGGGGAGTATTTCAGGCATCAAGAAAATACTAGGTGGAAACCTGAATCTTCACAAATGAAGAAATTGAAAAATGAAAAAAAAAAAGAAAAAGGAAAAGTAAACTAAGTGGGTAACTAGTTTCTTTTCTTATTTTAAAATTCTCTTGGATAGATAATGGAAAGTTTAAGCTAAAAGAATAACAGCCTTGGCTGGTATGGTGAAGTGGATTGAGTGCTGGCCTGTGAACCAAAGGGTCACTGGTTCAATTCCCAGTCAGGGCACATGCCTGGGTTGCAGGTCAGGTTCCCAGTAAGGGACACATGAGAGGCAACTGCTCATTGATGTTTGTCTCCCTCTCTTTATCTCTCCCCTCCCCTCTCTCTAAAAATAAATAAATAAAATCCTTTTAAAAAGCAGAAAGAGTAAAAAAAGGATATAACAATTTATTACGGGGTTTATAACATATGTAGAAACAAAATGTATGAAAACAATCACGCAAAGACAAGGAGAGGAAACATGGAAGGACACTGTTGTAAGGTTTTAATACTATATGTGAACTGTTACAATATTTACTCAAGTTTGGTTGTGATAAGTTAGAGATGTGTATTGTAAATCCTAAAACAATAACTAAGGTAATGCAACCCAAGTTATATCTAATAAACCAAAAAGGATATAACATGGTGCTCCTGTTGGCAGCACATACACTATAATTGGAATGATGCAGAGAAGATTAGTATGGCCCCTGTGCAAGGATGACACAGAAATTCATGAAGCATTTCATATTTTTACCTTTCAAAACAGCATGGAAGGAACTGGAGAGCATTATGTTAAATGAAATAAGCCAGGCAGTGCAAGACAAATACCATATGATCTTACCTATAAGTAGAACTTAATCAACAAAACAAACAAGCAAACAAAAAAGAACCAGAGACATGGGAATAAAGAATAAATTGACAGTAACCAGAGGGGAGGAAGGAAAGGATAACAGGAGAAAGAAGGGGAAGGGTCATCAAGGAACATGTATAAAGGACCCATGGAGAAAGACAATGGGAGGGGGGAGGATTGAATGTGGGAGGTAGGGGTGAGTAGAGCATGAGAGAGTAATGGGGGAAAATGAGGGCAACTGTAATTGAACAACAATAAAAAAGGATATAACATGGAATTCCCCTTACAAACCCCATTAATCCAAAAAGAAGGCTGAGCATATTTTTATAAAAGTTTCTAGAGGAGAATGTAGGCAGGAAAATCTTGGATATTCCACACAGTAATATTTTCACCAATATGCCTCCTAGAGCAAGGGACATAAAAGAAAGAATAAGCAAATGGGACTTCATCAAAATAAAAAGCTTTTCTGTATGGCTAAAGAAACCAGCAGTAAAATGAAAAGGAAACCAACCATATGGGAAAACATGCCAATGATATGTCAGACAAGGGTTTGATCTCCAAAACACATAAAGAACTCCACAACTCCACTCCAGGAAGACAAATAACCCAATTACAATATGGGCAAAGGACTTGAACAGACACTTCTCCAAGGAGAACATACAGAGGGCCCAGAGACATATGAAAAGATGCTCAACATCACTAGCCATCAGAGAGATGCAAATTAAAACCACAATGAGATACCACCTCACACCAGTCAGAATGGCCATCATAAACAAAGCAACAAACAACAAGTGTTGGAGAGGTTGTGGAGAAAAGGGAACCCCAGTGCATTGTTGGTGAGAATGCAGACTGGGGCAGCCACTGTGGAAAACAGTATGGAATGGAACAGTAAGGAATTTCCTCAGAAAACTGAAAATGGAACTGCCTTTTGATGTAGCAATTCCACTGTTGTGATATCCTAAGAACCCTAAAACACCAATCCAAAAGAACCTATGCACTCCAATGTTCATAGCAGCACAATTTACAATAGCTAAGTGCTGGAAGCAACCTAGGTGCCCATCAGTAAATGAATGGATCAAAAAACTGTGGTACATTTGCACAATGGAATACTATGCAGCAGAGAGAACGAAGGAGCTCCTACCTTTTGAGACAGCATGGATGGAACTGGAGAGCATTATGCTGAGTGAAATAAGGCAGGTGGTGAGGGAAAAATACCATATGATCTCACCTTTAACTGGAACATCATCAATAAAAGAAAAAAGCAAACAAAAGATAACCAGAGTCATTGAAATTAAGAGCAATCTAACAATAGCCAGAGGGGAGGAGGGTGGGGACAGTGGGGAGAAGGGTTTTCAGGAACTACTGTAAAGGACACATAGACAAAACCAAGGGGGAGGTTCGAAGCAAGGGAGGGAGGGAGGTTTGGCTGGGGTTGGGGGAGTGGTATGGGGAAAATGCAGACAACTATAATTGAACAACAATAAAATAATTTTAAAAAACAGATTAACTTTTTAACATTTTAAAATGTGAAATATATATTAAATATCCAAGTATAGATATTACATAGGTACCTGTATATATAATTTGTAGTTTAGGTTTGAACTGAAGATACAGATTTGAGGGTTGACAGTAAATGTCGTTTAAAGTCATGAGATCAGATGAGATGACCAAGGAAGAAGATAGAGACAAGAGAAGAGAAGATAACAAGACTGAGACCCAGAGCACTGCCATAAGAAATCAGAAAGCCAAGGAGAAATGAAAAAGAAAGTTAAGAAAGAGTAGCCATGACATAGGACAAAATCCAGAGCAGTGTGGTATCCTTGAACCCAGTGAAGAAATTGTTTAAGAATGAGGGAGTGATCAACTGAGTTTAATGTTACCCATGTGTCAAGAAAAATAAGGACAATATTAGATTTGGCAGTGTGGAAATCACTGGTGACTTTGACAAGTTCAGTTTGGGGAGAACCATGGAAGATGGAAGCTTGATAAAAATGTGTTTAGGAAAAATGGAAGATGAATAACTTCCAGTTTATCCAATGGAGTGAATGCACTTATACCTATTCTTCCCACTAGGTACATTATGTATAAAACAAATATGAGAAGATTTTGAAAGATGAAGAAAGGAAAACAGACTAGGGACCTTGGAATCTGAGGAATGACACAGTACTTGAATGATGTCAGTGGAGGCCTACTGGGGAGCCTGAATTTTGACTACCTCCCAATAGTATCAAGATGCATCTCTTAACCTACCCCCCCCAGTGTGAAAATAAGGCAGAAAACATGGTCTTCCACTTCCACCTGGCAGTAACAAGGTGGCACCCCTTTCCTGACATGGTATCAGACACCAGTTAAGAGAAGATTTAAATAAGGTACAGAGTCTCATCACATAACATCCAAAATATCAAGGATATAAATGAAAATAACTTGTTATAACAAGAAACAGGAAACTCAACTTAAGTAAGAAAAATCAATCAATAGAAACCAAGACCCATATGACACAGATATTAGAGTCATATTACAAGGATTTTAAAGCATTCAGCATAAAAGTGCTTCAAAGAGCAATTCTGAACAGGTTTCAAATGAATGAAAAAAAAAGTCTCAGCAAAGAAATATTGATAGATAATATAAGGGAGAACCAAATGAAAATTTTAGAACTGAAAAATGCAATGACTAAAAATTTCCAAAATATGGTTCCAGCTAAAATGGAGGCATAGGTAGAAATGCTTCACTTCCTTGCACAACCAAAAGAAGGATAACAACCAATTTAAAAACAACATTACAACAAGAAGTGCTAGAAAATCAAACTGCATGGAACTCCAATAACCAAGGAGTTAAAGAAATATTCAACCATTCTGGTAGGAGGGGCGGAGACGGGCAGCCATGGGGCAAGGCAGCGGACTGAGTGGGTGACGGGGGGCTGGCTGAATGGGAAACTAAAGACTCAAAACCTTTAGCTGTAAAATACTGTGGGGGTTGCAAAGGTAGGAGAAATGCTCAGTCTCACAAGAGAGTTTGTTGGAAAGTTTGGCTAAAGCAGAGTGAGCTAGCAGCACTGTTTCCTCTCTGACCACTCTCCCACAGACAGCGCCACAATGCAGCAAAGAGGGTTGCCCTGCCCTGGTCAATACCTAAGGCTCCCCCTCTCCCTGCAACTTACAACATAACAGGTGCACTGAGACAAAGAGATATGGCCCAAATGAAAGAACAGATCAAAACTCCAGAAAGAGAGCTAAGCGACAAGGAGATAGACAACCTATCTGATGCAGAATTCAAAACACTGGTAATCAGGGTGTTTACAGAATTGATTGAGCTCCATCGCAAAATGAAGGAAGAAATGAAGGCTACCCAAAGTGAAATAAAGCAAAATATAGGGGGGACCAACAGTGAACGGAAGGAAACTGGGACTCCAATAAACTATTTGGAACAAAAGGAAGAAATAACCATCCAACCACAACAGAATGAAGAAACAAGAATACAAAAAAAATGAGGAGAGGCTTAAGAACCTCTGGGACTACGTTAAACATTCCAACATCTGAATCATAGGGATGCCAGAAGGAGAAGAACAACAGCAAGAAATTGAAAACTTATTTGGACAAATAGTGAAGGAAAAGTTCCCCAATCTCGAAAAGGAAATAGACTTCTAGGAAGTCCAGGAAGTCCAGAGAGTCCCAAAGAAATTGGACCCAATGAGGAACACACCAAGGCACATCATCAAGAAATTATCCAAGATTAAAGATAAGGAGAAAATCTTAAAAGCAGCAAGAGGAAAGGAGAGTGTTACCTACATAGGAGTGCACATAAGACTATCAGCTGATTTCTCAAAAGAAATCTTACAGGCAAGAAGGGCCTGGAAGAACATATTTGAAGTCATGAAAGGCAAGGACCTACATCCAGGATCACTCTCTTCATCAAAGCTATCATTTAGAATGAAAGGGCAGGTAAAGTGCTTCCCAGATAAGGTCAAATTAAAGGAGTTCATTATTACCAAGCCCTCATTATATGAAATGTTAAAAGGACTTATCTAAGAAATAGAAGATCAAAACCTTTGAACAGTAAAATGACAACAAATTTATAACTATCAACAACTGAACCTAAAAAAGAAAAACTAAGCAAACAACTAGAGCAGGAACAGAATCAGAGAAATGGAGATCACATGGAGGATTATCCATTGGGGGGGCAATGGAGGGAAAAGGTACAGGGAATAAGAAGCATAAATGGTAGGTGTAAAATAGACAGGGGAGTTTAAGGAATAGTGTAGCAAACAAAGAAGCCAAAGAACTTATATGTACAACTCCTGGACATGAACTAAGGGGAATGAATTATGGAGGGTGGGGGGTTGCAGGGTGGGGGGGGGATAAAGGGGAGACCAAAATTGGGACAACTGTAATAGCATAATCAATAAAATATACTTTAAAAATTTCCAAAATTTGAGAAAAGATATAAACCTACAGATTCAATAGTGGAGTAAATCACAAGCAATAAACCCAATGAAATCCATGCCAAGATACACCATGATAAAAATTTTGAAAACTAAAGACAAAGAAAAAAATATTGAAAACATCAAGTGAGAAATGATATCTTACTAAGAGGGTGGGGAAAATATTTGAATGAAGGAAGGGATGTTTCTCATCTGAAACCATGGAGGCACAGCATTTTTTAAGTGCTAAAAGAAGAGAATTCATATATAAAGAGCACTTGAAATTGAACAGTAAAAGAAAACAAACAATTCAATTAGAAAGTGAATGAAAGACATGAAGCATTTCACTGAGGAGGATGTATAGAAGGTAAATAAACACATAAAAAGATGCTCAACATCTCTAACCTTTAGGTAAGTGCAAATTAAGGCTATGATGATTTATCAACACATGCCTACTAGAACTGCTGAACTAAAAATGAACATGA